TTTTATGCAAATTTATGCATAGATTCCATGACGCCGGCTGACCGCTGTCTTCCGCGGTGGACTCGCACAGCAATTCACACTTATTGTCAAGACCATTAATGAACACAAAGAACTGGGAAATTAAAAGGATCACAAAGTTCTAATGAAAAGTTAAACCAATTTGGCTGAGCCAAAAGCTAGGAAACTAGTCTATAATAGTTGACATTATTTTATTTGCCTGAGCCTTGGAATAAAATCACAAAACAATCCAGAAAGACGTAGAGATCAAATATGTTTACAGTATTGCACGGGCTCTAAATATTTCAACTTTGCAATGTATTGCTTTCATAATAATTACGCAAACTCAGTTATTTTTATTATTGTTGGGACACTAACCCGGGCTATTGGGTCTGTGAATATTTCAATATTACCGACTTGATAATGCATTGCATTCGTAATTATTACGCAAATATAAACATGGGCGCATTTAAATCATTGAAAAAGATAGTCAGGTCCCGGAGTCAGGTGTCTAACGAAAGTCGAGAAAATATTTTAAATACTTGTGACTCATCGGTGAATTATTTTATTCAAAATAAAGTGAATATGTAATATTAACCATACAATAACGTACAATATCATGCGTAATGTTAAATTTTTCTATAAGAAACTTGCAGCGCACTTCGATCGCATTATTCACGTACATTTCGACTGAACTCTTATAACCATGTGTTTGAATTACGTGCGGCAATGGACAATGACCTCAATGAGTTCACACCCTGACATTTAAATTCGGGCCACCCAGTTTGACGCCAAACGATATAGTGACTTAACATTTGTTCAAAAAATCGGTAAACTCTCGCGAAGAGTTAACGTCGTCGCAACGTCGTTTTTGACCAAAAAAAAAAAAACAGGTCAATACAAAATTATGTGTGCGAGGTTAGATTTATAGAACGTACATGACCGCTTAACTCTGTGTTTTTTTTAATAATCATGTCGCACGTGAAACACAGGAGACATTTTGTTTGTCCATTTTTTGTTTACCGATCTTGAACGTTTTGTCTGGAATGCGATACAGGCAAAGAATAAACATTAATGATACCCACTGTTGTCAAATCAACAAGAGGCTCGAATCAGGAAGGCTCGGCTATTTATAACTTCGTAAATAACATTCTTTTCATGTGGTAGACTTTATTCAAGTGTAACAAACGTAAGTGAAATGTATGGACGAGTCATAATACTCGTACCTTCGAAAGTTACGACTTTTACTCTTGGAATTGGTGATAAATACATGCATAAAATACAACATTGTTTCACGCAACAACAATTCGTATACAGCATTGGACTTATGGATTTTTATATTAACAAAATACGTGGGCCGAGAATATTACCATATGCTTAGTATTTCCATGCCAGCGATGCTCGTAACCTGCTCGATTTAAAAACAGCTATTTGAAACAAAGACTCATTGAATCACAAAGGAAACTGTTTAGTACGTATTTCACACCTTTCCTACGACCGCGGTTGCAACCGGTACCGGTGGCCACCACGGTAGAGACCCCTAAATTATAAGCAGTGCGCGGCTCTCCCCGGTGTACCGCGGAGAGCCGTGGTGATTACCGCGGTGAACCGCCAGTTTGATTTCCTACTCTCCCCTTACATTAATACTACACATTATGTTCCTTTACATTACTACAACCATTACATATTACATTTCTCATTACATTAATACTACACATTATGTTCCTTTACATTACTAAACCCATTACATATTACATTTCTCATTACATTAATACTACACATTATGTTCCTTTACATTACTAAACCCATTACATATTACATTTCTCATTACATTAATACTACACATTATGTTCCTTTACATTACTAACCCATTATATTTCTCATTATACTAATTCTGCACATTACATTCAATGACATTACTTCACTCCTAAGTATGTACAAGATCTTTTGGATTTTGTATGAAATTACATTATTATTTGTATTTGATTTGATTGTCAGGAATATGAAAGCTGTCGATTACGTGTTGATGTAGCTGAAGCCAGGCGGAATGATAGAGGATCTGATAGAGGGCGAGGAGGACGTGGAGGTGTGTATAACCAAGATATTTTGCCTTTCATTTCTGACAATATCATAGCACAGTTTTCCTGGATTACATGCTTTTTGCATTGCTTAGAATGTCTTCATAGATCAGCAGTCTTTTCAATGAAGGCTGGAACATTAGTCCCCGAAGTACAAAAACAGGGACTTTAATGGACTGACCTCCGTCCATTTGTCCATCCATATCCAGCCATATCTCACCACATGCTTGGGCTGATCAAGTTCAATCTTGACACATATGTCAGACATTATATCGGACATATGCACTCGCATATATTTTCATGATCTGATTCAAGGTGGGCGAATGGCAGCCATCGTCAGGCCAGAAATCAAAATCCCACGTTTTCACCACTCCAGAATTGTATCTCAGTCGTGTGTTGACGGATTTGGTTTAAACTTGGTACATATGTTGAACACAATAATATTGATTTGTCATTTTATTTTTCGGATACAGTTCAAAATGACCGATTGATCTATATCTCTGACATGCATGGAATGATCCAGTTGAAACTTCACACATACATCATATCTGACATATGCAGATGCATTTGTTTTATGATCCGATTCAAGATGACTGAATGGCAGCCATTTTAAGGCCAAAAATGTATCACTATTCCTGAACTGGATTTGTTCAAACTTGGTATATTTATTTGAGAAAGTCGAATAAGTCAAAATTATTTTCTACAGTGTGACTGTAAGGCTGCTCTCATCATTCTCAGATGTGGCTGTCAAATCAGTATTGAGCTCTGCCTCAGTAATAAATGAACATTAAATAAATAAAATAAAATAAAACAAAGCGTTTATGCCTGTTTTGTTTCTTCGATTGGCCTATTAAATTGAAACTTGACACATTGACACTTATGTGTGAATGTTGTATTGCATTTATTTCATATTCTGATCGTAGATTGTCGTTTGTTGGCATTTTTGTTCCTGAAAATGCTGATGCATTTATCGTATCTAAAGTGTACAAGACATGTACCGGTATATCTGATGATACATTGACAATCAGACAAGTCATTGTAGGATATTGTAGCATTTTAGGTTGTTTGGCAATTCAAATTCAATTTCAAAATGAGTACCATATTTGCTCTATTAGTAGCGCATGCTACATAAATGACAGTGGTGTGTCAGGGGACAAAAGTTATAATATTTCAATGATTCTTTTTATGATTATATGTATTTGTTGTTTACATACGCTCCTGTTGGAGATGCACTTCTAATAGAGTAAATATGGTAGGTACATTCACACATTGTGTTGTTGAATATGGCTGATTGGTGGCCATTTTGTTCCAGATATGATTTTATTTCTAAATGTGTTTATAAATTTGATTGTAATTTGTTTTAATTAAATATATGACTAACTAGCACATATTGTCAATGCTTGTATGATGCGTTAGGTTTCCGAGGCAGTGACCGAGGGGGTGGACGTGGCCGTGGTGGCTACAGGGATCAAGGAGGTTTCAGAGATCAAGGAGGTTTCAGAGATCAAGGTGGTTACAGAGATCAAGGTAGGGTTTCAGGCTGCTGATCAATTCTAACAATTATAAGATTCACATTTAGCATTTGGCAACATTTGAAGAGTCTCCCAGAATGCATTTCTGAGATACTATTTGGGACATGAAAATATAGTTCACCAATGAAACTTCTGTGTTTAATCTTTGAATGCCAAATCTAATTCTCTTTACTCAAAATAAACCTGAATTTCAAAAGTGGACCAGTTTTCATATTAGTTGCCCCTTGACAAAAATGGATCAGTTTTCATTTTAGTTGCCTGATTACAAAAGCGGTTGACAATCGTCAATTTCGACACTGATGTATATAGACTGATGCATGCTGGAGATTGATGTCACTGAGTTAATCTGTTCACATACTTTGCATTATGCCATGATCTCGGAAATATAACTTTAGTTCCTATATTTATTTCTTGTTTTGTTTTTTTTCCAATTGATGAGAATTATGAAATGAGTTGTTTATTTTATGCAACATTTGTGTCCTGTTCTGGTCTACAGGCTACAAAAGAGATGGTTTTGATGATGGAGCAAGAAGTGGCGGTGACTATAGAAGGGGCGGTGGAGGACAATGGGCTGGTGATAGAGGAGGATCAACAGGTTACAGAGACAGAGATAGAGATAGGCCGCCACCAAGGTCACAGGAAGAGCTACGTGAGCCAACCGCTGGTATGTACATAATGAATAAAAATTGATTTAGCACTTTGCTAGTTTAAATCAGTTGCATGGCTCTAAAAACCAGTAGCACAAAAAAAATTCTGACTACTGCTCTTGTAGCCCAACTGGTCTACTATAAAAATTTATGAAAAAATGGTATTTTGTTTCCTACTTCAAGTTCAAGTCCTATTAAAGCTCATTTGTCATCTTCTCCATGCATTCATTATTATGTGTAAATGCCATTAAAATAAGGAAAATGAAAAAAATAATTTTTTTCAAGATTTCTATTTTTGTGATAGTTTCTACCAGGTATTTGTGAAATTATTTGATCATATTTTAAAATTTTGATACAAGATCAAAAAGTCTTATATTATTGACAGGAATCCTACTATTGTGAACAAATTTAAAAAACCAAAAATGCATTTTATTTAGTGTGTTTCCAGTGTCATCAGTTTTCAATTATGACAATGGTAAGTTCTCTGCCATGATGCATTGCATTAACTTTAAAATTGGTAGCTCAGCTGGCTTTCGATGAGGTTTTTTATAGTCCTGGTTTTTCAATTTTGGTATTTTTCTCATTTCTATTATCTTTGGTATTTATTTCTCCCAACAGAGGAAGCAGCTGCCAGACCCAGACTCAAGTTAGCACCACGCACTGTCAAAGACCCCATTCATCAACAAGTTGTAACGGCCCAAACTGCTAGTATATTTGGCACAGGGAAACCACGTGTGGAACCTGACAAACCAGATGAGCCAGAAGAGCAAGTGGTGAAAGAATGAGTGGTTTTTTTGTACTTCCTTTAGATTTTTTCCCTATTGATGTCGATATTTTATCATTCTTAGTGTCTACACCTATTATCAACTTGTAGTAAAGTTTTCAGCCTTTTTCTTGTTCTTCCAAAAATTATTAATAATCACTTTGTATTTGATGTATACCTTGCCCCCACCACACAGACTGCAGTGCAGTAGTGCTGTCATCTCGTGGAAAAAGTTAATCCAATTCATTTCCTGAGGTTACCCTCCATGCTTGCAAGATGCAATCAAGTATCTCAAGGAACAACATCAAAAGCTTCATCCTATCCTTTGGCAACCCAAGTTTATTGTTAAGTCATTAAAAATAGAATTGATTTTCTGATAAAAACTTTTCAAGGCCAAACAAACCCGCTTATCACCCCACCAACCCAACCCGAACTCCAATCTAAAGAAATTATCGGTATGTTTTTTTTAATCTGACATCAATCTTTTGATGTTGCCCCTTTTTGGTCTTGTGAAATTGAGCCAAGAAGCAAAACCTTGGCCAGCAGCAATTCTGTTCGATCACTCAAGGTAAATCTAAGTTTGTAAAGCATATGCCTCCTGCATTTTTCACTTAACTTTTTGGAAACATTTTGATCATCAGATAAAAATACGAATTCTGATGAAAGATAGGTTAACTCAACTGATTTTTATCTTATTGAAATCCACTGCAATTCAGTTTTATGTTCACATTTTTAAAAAAATAAGGCTGAATTTTACCATTAACAAATTGTCCATTGACGTTGTTTTTTTCCCAATCATTTTGGCTATCTGTGGTGCCTTTAAAGCAGGCAATGTTTAGTACCCTGGTGGTAATAAATTAATCCTCTATACCTAACAGTGGTTTCATCTTGTAGCACTGAACTGGTAACTTTTAAACCTCAAGTTGGATCAATTTTCATGACTACTGCATCTGCGTTAAGTCTCACATATTTGACACATCATTTTGCAAAACTATCAAAACAAATGAGTGCTGGATAAATCACTTTTACAACCCATACAAAAACACATGCTAGAGTGCTTACCTGTTTTTTAAATCAGAACATTTGTATTTGACAATTAATTCAATTTTAAACTTAACAAAAAGTAGATGAACACGATCATGGCTGTCATAAACATGTCTCTGTGGTGGCCCTATAGAAAATTAAAAAATTAAAAAAAACATGCCATGAAAATTTCTTAATTATAAAAACTATGATACGGTGAGCATGTTTGTGTAGGTTCCTTCATCATTTAATTGTTTTGCTGTTATTTTCATCTTTTGACACAGTATGGACTAATTTAATATCAAACCTAAAAATGTAATGAACAGTTTTCTCTGTTGATCAAGACCAAACAAAAATGAATTATCTTGGTCCTGATTTTGAAATAAATCACAGATAATTTATTGTTGAAACCTGTGTATGAAAAGTTGACAGTAAAAGAATTAAATAATTGATGTGTATGAATATAACAATTCAAAGTGATAAAAAAAAATGAACTAAAATTAATTCAGCTTTACTTTTATTTCGCAGTTCTAGAAACTTCTGGTAATGATAAAATATTCATATATGGCATACACTACCTAATATGGTATGTAATTCCAAATATGGAATTTGAATAATTTTATTGCACCTTCCAAAGAGAGTTTGATTGTCTTTTGCTACAGCAAGGTGGCCGAAGTACAGCTTTGTACCGTTTATGAATAAGATGCTATTAATTTTGTTTGTTTTATTTTACCTTTATACAAAACTAGCAGTTGCAATGTAATTTTATAAACGTTGATATTTTTTGGCAAAAACATTTGTACAGTTCAAGTGTAGATGCTCATTTTAAAATTTTAAACATCATAAACATGTATTCATTTAATTGGTAGATGCCACCACTGCTTTACACTGAATCGTTATTTCTTCTAGATAGACTGAAACTTAGAGGGTTAGAAATGCCGCTGAATTGTCACATATTTGTAGTTTGACTACTTAGAATGAATTTTCATTTCTGTGTACATTATATCGATGCAGGATAATGCAGCACTAACTATTTCAACAAACCTGGAAAATGTTTGCTGGGACAATTCATAGATGTTGAATGGTTCTATCACTTAATCCTTGATCTTAGCACAGAGTGCTACATCATCTAAAGCATCTAAACCCATTGTACAACTAATTCAAAGTGGAATCCCTCATACAAACGTTTTACCAAACTATGATATACACTGCGTCAATAATTGAAGGAAAAAAATAATTATACATACATGTATACATAAAATAAAATAAAAAATACGAAAGTTTTGTTGTATTTCCCCATTAGAATGACCTTTATATAAAATACAGAAAAGTTGTTCAGAATGTACGTGAATCGCTTGTTTTGATGAAATGGAGGTAGACAGTTATATTGTTAATTTTCTCTTAGTAGCTGATAGATTGCATTTGATGTTTGTCTCCAAAGTAGCTGTTCCGGCGACACATGCGGCAAAAGTTCAGGGATTTTTTTTTTCTCCCTATATATTATATCTGGAAGCAACACAAAAAACATGAATAAATATTTTTAAAAAAAAAAGCTGTTATTGTGTAAGATAGTTGCAGACAAAAAAAAATCAAATGATCTTTCACGACCTAGTTATGTTCGAAATCTCACCTTTTTTCGGAATCTCTTAAAGACTAGCTTTCAACTCGGTACTATTTTATTCTTAACTCTATATTTCAGCGGAGTGTAGATAGGTGTGCATTTTCTTCGTCCCCTTTTTCTTTACTTTTTTTCCAGTCTTTTCTGTCATTACAAAAAGTTGTTGCATATTTGGACATTGGATAGTGAATATTTGCAATAAAACTTTTAAAATGATATGTGTTGTCATGTGTTCATTTTAGTATTGTGTTGTAGGTCCAGTCACTCAGCCTGGCATTTTTCTCAACTGTCAGATTCAAACCATGAACATACCACCAACTGTTTATCAGGCATGCCGGGACAGATTTCATTCAAATTTTTTGTAATCACTTCACTCGTGATTGGTTAGTGATGCATGTCATTTGGTTTTGTGATTTGAATATTAAAAGAAATTTGTTGCCAATCAACTTGGCAGCCATTTTTAGCCCTGACACACTCCACTAGGCTCATGGATTTGGTTGTCTGTTGCAGTATTTCATGGACAGAATTCCCTCTTGGTACATTATGATATAGTTGTGCCCCAGATTTGTTTTCTGTTCAGATACAAAAATGGTCGAGTCATGACCATATTTGAATCCAATGAAGTCCCAAACTTCTATATTTTATATGTATAGAGCATTATAAGTTGTGCTGATTGATGCAGTCAAAACTTAGAATGTGGGTAACACCTGTTGGTATACTGAGGTACATCCATTATTAGGCCCCATTTGACTATTAATTTGGGTTCCATCCGGAGCCATTTCTAGGATAATCTTTGACCAATCGCATTCAAACTTGGCATACAGACAATGTATGATGACCTACATATGCACGCCAATTTTCGTTAAAATTTGTTTAAATATGGCTGACTGTCAGCCATTTTGTTTTCAAATTTGCTAAATTCTGATATTTAAAACTGAACACGGTCATTGCAATCAAACTTTGTATGGTGATCATGCATATTGGGTTCTAGGTGCATGTCACTTTTTTTTTGAGATTCGGTTCAAGATGGCAGACTGGTGGCCGTTTTCGTGCCGATTCCTCCATAAGATTCAGTTCAAAGTTTGAACATTGGTACTATACTTCAAGATAACAAACCATGTTTTGTTTTGAGATTTGAACAAATTTGTCGAAATGGTGGCCATTTTGTTTAATATCTTAAAATCAGTCTGTAACTTGTCCGGAACTGTTTCTCAGGGCTGAATAGGGCGATTTCAATAAAACTTTGTATGATGATCATGTATATTGGGTTACACGTGCACATCACATTAAAATTTGGACTAAAATGGCTGACTGGCGTCCATTTTGTTTTTTTTCTTTTTTGTGTCGATTAAAGTTTGTACATACTGCAAGGTAACACAACATGTTTTGTCTTAAGATTTTATCAAATTTGTTGAAATTGTGGCCATTTTGTCAAAAAAAACGTAAAATATCATTCTGTAACATGTCCATTCTGTTTCAATCCAAGTTTGTATGGTGATCATGCATATCAGGTTACGGTGCAAGCCATATTTCTTTTTGAGATACTTGAACAACAAAACCCGATTGGCTGCGTTTTTCTTTCATGATATTTCCTCTAAGATATAGTCCAATTCAGTTCAAAGTTTCCATGTAGGTACTATGCTGACAGTAACGTAATCTGTGTTAGTGTTAAAAAACATTGATCTTTCATTTCTACATGTCACTTGTACTGAACATTTACATCGACTACAGCTAATACTGAACAGGGACTATGCATTATCAATGCTTGTTTTCAGATTTTTTTGAAATTAGGCGACTGGCAGTCATTTTGTTTCTCAAAACTACTTATTTTTGTTCATTCTTGTTTATGAGATTACAATTACCAAGTTTATTCAGATATTTCACAAAGATGCAAGTTGATTTTTGTCAAGACTTTATGCATTATTGCTGACCAGCAACAATTTTGTTTAACAAATATCTTCAATTTTGAGCTCCGTGCACAAACAATTGTATTCTATTCAATGAATCCTATCAAAAATGATTGACTGGCAGCCATTTTGTTTAAAGAAAATCTATTTTTACTCAATTCTGCTTATATCTCAAATTCTTACTGCTCAGGTAGATTCAAACTTGGTATACAGGTAAAAGTGTTTTATCGCATCAATTAAACCATAGACAGTATAGTCCTACTATACTGTCTATGATTAAACTTGGTCTGTTGCACGATCCAAACAAAGATGGTCAGCCAGCAGCCATTTTTTTTCAAATGCACTTTTTTGGACATACTCATTTGATTTAAACTTGGGATTACTGTTTTTTTTTATGATTTAAAGATAACAGAGCGGAGCTGTTCATATAGGTGATTGTCCGTCATCGTCTGTTATCCGTTCTGTTATCAACGTCTTCCTGAAATTAGACTCTATTGTTTTGATACTTAGGATGTAGGTACTGGTACCTTGGGTGTCAACTTTCATGACGATATCTTCAATTGTCTGTTTTTGATGAATATATTCTGGTAAAAAATGCTATTGTTGTCGACTTGAAAACTGCTACTCCAATTTCTTCGATACTTCGTACATGTGTACCTTGGATGGACCTCTGTTAGATTAGTTACTTCTGTGTATTAGGAGAACACTCTTGACTCTGCTGAAACAGCAGAGCTATTTTGACTCAAAATGGCTGACTGGTGGTCATTTCTCAGACGTGCTTTGAACAATTTGGGTTTAAACTTTTATCAATCAATGCACTTGATCAAAAAGAAGCATGTAAATATGACGTTTGTCATGTATTAAAGTACAAGAACGAAGGGGCTTTGACATTTTCCATGGCTTGTTTACTGACCGAGTGCACCTTAATCCCATGTGTGCGACAGAAGCAGTGCCATCATTATGCCGCACATATAATTGTTTGATGATCAAATTATCAAAATCAGCATTTAATTCCAGGACTAAATCTGTCATGTATTGACTGATTTCATTCAATAAACATTTAGGTTATCCTTTTGACAAAATTTCCAAATAGATATTTTTCAAAACTGGCAATTTTATTTCAATCCAATTTGTTGGTGGTCCTGCTGGTTCTGAAGAATACTAGTTTAAGGAGATTTGAGCCAAATGTTTGTCATACTTTCATCACGAGTTCATACCATTTGGAAACTGAAAATTAAAACAATGATTGGAGTCAAGAGATGATATTTTTGAGATACAAGAGTCCCAAATGTCATGGAACATTGACATCTTAACTCTGGTTTCCATGTGGGATGAAAAAGTTGTATATTATTGATATGAATCCTCATATTGTGAAGACATTATTTAGTGAGTTTCCAGGGTGCTATTTTACCATTATGGTATATACAATGGAGGTTCTCTCCCATAATGCATTGCATATATGGGCATGCTCAGTAGAGTTAAATTTTTAATTTGGATCAAACTGTCCTTACAAGCATGGCTGGGCAGTTTCAATCAAACTAAGTTCACACTGTTTTTATTGAAGCACATGCTTTTGTTTCCAGATTTGATTACAAATGACCATTAAACATTTGTTTTTTGAGCTATCTTGCCCATTTGCCTAGTAATTGTTGTAGTATTATTCAAAAATTAGCATGAAAATATTTTTGCTCATCTTTCTGCATTATTTTCTTTTTTACGAGATTAAATTTCTTTTGACTGGCAGCCACTCTGGTCCTAAATATTCATTATTTGCCTGGAACGACTTCATTCACTTTGTGTTTGAGGGCAATGTGTGTAATCCACGTCAGTGTCTGTGTTGATGTCATTGTCAAATTCCATTAATTTCTGGGATATTGCCAAACCTGATCCTGTCTGCTCCTGTACACCTACTAGCTCCTAATATTTTGACTCGTGTTTACTGTAGACATGCTGGCACTATATTTATAGTCCGAGTTTCTCAAAATTATAAAAATAATTCAACTTTAATACAGTGTTATGTAATAAAAAGTTAAAAATTACATGTAACTTTGATAAAAGGTCCACGGGTGCTTGTGTTTTTTTAAATATTTTTTTTTGTGCCAGGCAACAGTTCTTGACATTGAGTGTCACTGTTGTTTCTCTTGACTTCTTTTTTTGTATGTGCAAATTGCAAGTGCTAGTGCTGACACATAGTGCACAGGTGCTTGTGTTGGATGTCAGGATAGGGCATTGAAGATGCACACCTGCAATCATTCATATAGCTTTACCTGGGTCTCAAGACTGTGACATAGGTGATACTCTGAAATATTGATCATTCTGCTAATGCTTTTAAAAACTGTAAATGCACGAGTTATTCACTGAGTTTTAATTTTGCCAATTTGGCTGATAAGTAAAATTCACTTAAATATATCCTTGAGAAATAACAATGGGACTCATTGTTTCACTAGCAAATTTATGAAGTTTAAACCCAGTGAATATGCTCATAATATCAGGCTTTACAGTAGGTTTAAAACATGTGTTGATTCACAAAAAACAGCTTCAGATTCAAATTACTACACCTCACCAGTAATTCAGAATGACGATGAATTAAACTTGGTAATGGCAGTATTCGTCCTAGATTAGATGTCGTCTATTATCGTGAGACAATTTTAAGAATAATAGACTAGTGAATCGATCTGGAGGACTGTAGGTGGGTCTCATGTATGTGTCAGTCTGTGCATGCAGGTTCCCATGGAAATGTACTGAAGTCATGGAGACAGCCAATGAATCAGTGTCAACACAGAATTCTGTGATGTCTAAGTATTTATGTAGTGATTCACCAGGCCATTCTTGAGTGCACTGTGAAAGGGAACCTGAATGACTGGATTCCAGGTAATGTTCATCCTTTCAATTGAAACATATGAACAGAAGAAAGTACAATTGTCATCCATTGTTTGGAAAATTAGCATATTAGATTAGAAGTGTGGTATATTTATCAGCCAATCAAAGTTTATATTACTATGAAGGAGAGGACCCAAAAAAAAAATAGAAAGTTAACCAGGCTAGGGGGCCCTTACTCCATGACGATATGGTGAGAACCCTGGTTCTTTCTCTATGACGTCATCCTTAAAATAAGGTATCTCTGGATCATTCATTGTGGTGTTGTTCTTATATCAAGGTATATCAGGTTCATCTACATCTTCTTCTTTGTCTTCTTCATCCCTGAACGTGTCCTTGGGTTCTAAGTCCTCCCCGTACTGAATTGAATTATCAATGTTGTACAGAATCACATTGATGGATTCCTCATCAGATCTATCTAATGGATAAAACTTCACTAAACTGTAATCTGATATCTGCAGAGGAAAACACATATCATCATTGATTAGGTCAGGATGGGCAGTGTGTGTGATGTACCCTTCTTTTAACCACCAGTTCCTTTTTTCATCACAAATTCACAAAATAGTACTGTTTATAGTCTGCAGTTTCCTTCAGAAGATTGGGACAAAAATAGCCAAATTTTTTTGAGTAAAAACTGAAAATTTACAAAAATGTTGTTTGTTGGCTCCAAAAGTAGGGTTCATTCACAAAAATATTGAAGAATATAAAGAAAAAAGTGCAGAAAAATTTGGGTGAGAATGTCTAGTGGTGAAAAGGTCAAATCATGACAATTAATGATCTAATAGTATAAATGATGAGTCAATGCAGCACATATTTTACAAGTTGTGTAATTCTAAGTGTAATTATTATACATCTGTCCAGCAATTTTCAACTTTTGCAGAATTGCATTGAGTGGATGAATTCAAATTGGACCAATTAAGGCAGTTCGTTACCATAAATAACTAAAAGTTTAATAATGGAAACTAAGAAAAATGGAAACCAAGAAAATATTCATCAATAAACAACAATTATAATTTCTTGTAGGCTTGTAGGCTCGCTTCAGTGATCCAATATTGCAGGATTCGTTGCCATAAAACCTGACCACAATAATAGTTGGAGGTGTTCTGCATCAATTTGATTACAATCCAGTATTGGCTTCAATTTCTTTTTTAATTTTTTATATATTGTTTTTTGTTATTTTTATCATAGTTGTCATCACTAAAAGCCATTTTACTTCATTTTATTATTGTCATCTACATATAACTTCAGGATTCTCATAAACTGTACAAAATAGGATTCATTGGGAGGTTTTATACAGACTGCAACTTAAATAGTGTATATTGTCAAAGATTCCAGGCGGAACACCTGTTCATGTATACTTACCACTGTAGCAATGGCTTGGTTTAATTTCTCATATTTTTTCCCAAAATATTCAGTCTCTGCAAGCAACAAATCCGGATCCGGTTCCAAATATTTCTCTTCTACATCTTTCTTAGCTTGCCCACTCAGTAAGTCCATCTTGGACATTACATTAATGTGTGGGATTTCCAGATTGACCATCGCAGACAATGCTGATAATATACCTGCAAAAAAACAAAGGAAAGTTTTGTACAATATATTATTCTATCTGGCTTTGAAAACAATAAAATTTTAGCTGACTGTAAAATGCCATATGGACAGTGTTACAGTCACTTTTAAATGTCTTTCCTGGACGACCAAAGGAAATTGTGGATCACATTTACATCATATTTGAACAATTTTTTTGTTTACTTTAGTTGCAGAAGCGCTTGATGGAAATAGAATCCTGTCACTTAATGCAAATAATCACACAGCATGAAATTTTCTTCGTTGTCATTTAGGGTCATATCTCTCATTAATTTCTTACTAATTGCAAGGAAAATATGTATACCCGGTATCACAAGAATATTGCAAAGTATGCACCCAGACAGTACTGAAATGCAAGACCTCCAATACGAGTCAGTCGATATGACCATCATACTGCCTTCATTGCACTATTCTAGTAATAATCTCATAGTACAATCGAGGTGCTAAGGTACACTTGTTATGCAAGTGCAGCTATGGTTTGTTTGTGTATGTGCAAAATGTTGTTGGCAACTTGCACCTTGTAATTCTATGAAGCAGGTGAAATTAAGTGCTGCAGCCCAGATGAGACAAGGCGGTAAATAACACAATTGCAGTATTGGTAACTGGTGTACATAATTAACACACATCTCCAAACTGACAACGTACATGCAATTCTGTTGTACATCTCGGCATCTAAAATACAGCGCTTCAGTCAGACACGGCAATCATATGACGCATATATTGTTCTATTCTCGGGGCGGAGCTACTTCACAGAACGTTCTACATTGCTAAGACGTGCACCACTGTACCATGTATTTCTATGGACTATGCACAAGCTGCTGAGTTGAGTTGAGGAGCCAGAGAAAACAGCTGAATTTGAAAAACAGCACAAACTAAACTTTGGGGTAATCCTGAGCAACCTAATTGATATACTGTAAAAGGATTAATTATTCACCGTTTTTTTTAATTTAGCTTATTTCGCTGACTGGAAAATGCGCTAAATTAAAACCCAGTGAATATGTAAAATTTAGCATAGAACACATTATCTAAATGATAAAACCTTGAATTTAAAACCCGCTGAATATGCCTGAAATGGTAAATCAGCACAATTTAAATCCAGTGAAAATTAGTCATTTTACAGTATACTACGCATGTAGGGGTATTGTCCAATGTACCATTTCCAGAGAGTTTTCGTGTGTTTTTTTTTACCAGTGATGATTACCAGGCAATGAAAATGCCTGGATGTCACTCCCAAGAAAAGTTTGAAATATAACTTAAAGCGGGGGTGTTGTCACCTGCACATGCGTCAGATGGGCATAGCGTGTCATTGTTTACAAACAAGCATCTACCCATGAGCCTTTGCATTTTTAATGTATGTTATCGTTGCTTGGAACTCGATTCCCGCGCGTGCGCAGGTGACCACCCTCCTGCTTTAATTGCTTGACTGGAAAAAAGCTTGCAGGATGAGCAAAATTTTGAAAGTCGGCAAAAATTGACCTGCCAAGTCTGATAAAAAAATCCTTGTGGTAAACTGTGAGACAAGAATCCACACTTAGAAGAGTCAACTGTTATTTAATATTTATACTTAAAAGGCACTGACTTCTTAAAAATGTGGACAATGCATTTGTACGTGAAAGGATTTCCTATGGCACCAAGACCCTGATAACTACATTTTACCCTTCAGCGCAAAATCAATTTTTTGTTTTTTGTTCACAAAATAAAAGTTATAATTTTCACTGATTTTTCCCAAAATTTTGATCAAGACCTGTAACCAATAAGAAATTATGTCCACTTAGTCAAAAATGATCAAAAAAATTATAGAAAAAACATCAAAATTTTGGCCCGAAAAATTATAGCACTCAGAAGAATGTTAAAGTTGTATATGACTGGCATGACAAGTCTCATCAGTGGTGCATTTGAACTCAAGTCACATGAGTAAAAATTCAATTAGCCGTCTGTGCAAGAACAAATCAATCATGAAACACTATGATGTGCATACTCTACCTGAAAAAAATTTGGAAGTTTCCACTAAAAACTGTGAATCTATGAGAAAGACTCCACAAACTCTAAAGTCCCAACTCTGTAACTGGTCAACAAGCTGCCTCATCACAGGTAGATGTGTGTATAACTCTATCTGACCTGTAAAGCACACAAAAATAATACATGAGCTTTCAGAAAATATATAATTTATGGGTTACACACCTACTAATATGGCAGGCAGAAGAAAAAAAACAGCACAAACAGACAAGTTTTGAAATCCCAAGCTGATATTGTAATGAGTAAATGCAACAGATACAAAAAAGGAGGGTGCTGGAGTTATACTGTAAAATGGCTAATATTCACTGGGTTTTAATTTTGCTGATTTAACATTTCAGGCATATTCAGTGGATTTTAAATTCACGGTTTTATCATTTAGATACTGTGTTCTATCAGGGAGCTGTAATGTCTCCCTGGTTCTATGTACATATTCACTGGGTTTTAGTTTAGTACATTTTTTAGTCAGCGAAATAAGCAAAATTAAAACCCAGTGAATAATTAATCCTTTTACAGTACCCAGCATTTTATAAAATTTTATAAACACTTTGTGCACTGCCAAAATTAATGATGGATATATAGAAAATCAACTTTCATTGTAAAAGTACAAAGGCGGATCAAAATAAAGGGCTTACAAGTCTCAAAATCATGTGTATTCGTCAACCAATTTTTTTCTGACCAATACATCACAGAACGTCATCATTGCTTATTAATAACCAAAGAAAGGCTTGATTGTGGAAAAAGAAAACCAGAATGTGCGAGGTTGTCGGACAAATGATTCTATTGTGTACAAAAACAGGAAGTATAAATATGCAAGAAAACAAGGAAAACCCTACCCATTTTTGGTCATTCACATGCTAATTTATTTATAACAGTATTTCTAGAAATTTGTTTTTGTGATTTTGTTGAGATTTTAGTGCATGTCAAACAAAGATGCATAACCCTTATCACTTTATCTACCTTTGGTAAAAACTCATTTTGTCAAAATACCTGGACAATCAAAGATAATGTAGTCATCCTCCATATCACCGAGTTGTTCCTCCAACCAGTCAAAATTCTGAGCAAAATATCTATTGAAAATAAGATGACAATTCTCCTTCATATAATACACAAAACTAGTGTACAGGTTTTACTCACAGAAGTTGGACATTCAAAATGGCTGCCATGAAGTGAATAGGAACAAACTTTCACTTTTTGTTGTCTTCAAAAATAGTTTTGGTACGGTAAATTGAACTATGTTTTTTTATCAAAGTTTTCTCTTAGGATGATCCAATTCTTGATTAATTTTGTGTGATCTGTTGGATCACCTTTTGTAAATCATAAGTTGTATACAGGAATCTATTTACCTCATTTTAGAAATGAGTTTACAGCAAGTCTCAGAAGTATTGGGGCAGGCAATTTGCAAAGTCGCTAGCAAATTGGCTAACTGCTTGGGTTTTGACTGAGCAGTTGGCTTTGAAATATCACTATCACCGACTTTGGCTTCATCACATCTGGCCACTAGAGTCAAACAGAATCAAATAAAAATAAAAATAAAAACAAAAACTTCTGAGCACAACTTTTGGAACTGATATGTACTTACTCCATACAGAACACAAGCCCACCATTAGGTCCAAATTTAAGTGATTCATCTTCCATCACATCATCAATTTGAATCAAATCACGAATATCTAATGAAATAGAACACATCTTTGATTTGAATCACATTATGAATATCAAATAAAAAAGCAAATCATTAATTTGTATGAAATTATGAATATCCAACAAAAAGAGGCACATTAAATTTGAATTAAATCATAAATTATCTAATGAAACACAGTACATCATTGATTTGAATCAAGAGACAAATTTCTGATGAAGGAAGTGTGTATCTTTATATGAAAGTAATCAAATAGTTTACTACCGCCATACATAGTGTTGAAACACCAATAAAATGCGTTATTGAGAGAATTGGAAGCCTGTGTTAAAATTGGAACACCACTTCCCATCAGCAGAGTCGGATGTGTCGTGGAAGACACTATTATTTTAAGGTGTATAATCTGCTACAGCTTTTTGATAATCAAACATACCAAACATATGCCATATTTATGGTTTTGTTAAACAATAAAATAAAAAACAGTTGTTCTACACATATGATACATCTTCCTCTCTTTTGGTATTATCTACAACTTCATTCTGAAATTTCTAAAAAAAAAACATTTTCCTGATATATACAGTACATGTAAATCCAATGAAATATTCTAAAAACATTTTGGTGCATAGTTTTGGTGGTAGTAAAGATATCACAATTATACTAAATGCTTACAGAATTTGGCCAAAATATACAAGAATTTAACATATTTTGCTCACCTGCGATTGGTTGGTATATAAAATTTTCAGCAGCAGGATCTAAATTAATAACATGTGTCGCTCGTTTCAACATCTCACAATGTTCTTGTAACATGTTGCAATAGGTAGACTACAGAGTAGAGTGAAATGATATTATTGCACACAAGTATATAATAATATTAAATAAAACTGTAAAATAATGCACATGTGTTGAAGAGAATATCATTTTTATTTGAAATCCCTTAAGAATTACCATAATTTATGTGAAATGAGATCAAGATTGATTCTTGTACACTTTATCAACTGTATAAACTCAGATTTCATATTTCCATATGTTGCATCAGTGACTCAATCACTAGATGTAGTGTGTCACCCCCCCCCCCCATACATTTTGAAAGGTTTAGTAATTGCGAATCCACAAAGTAATTTTTTTGTCCTGACCTTTTAATCAATTTACTGCAAATATTGCTGTTCTGTTTTTTCATTTTTAACATCAGACTTTCGTTACTATTAAAACAAGACGTGTATTTACCTTGCCACTGCCAGCCGGACCCATCACAAGCTGTGCATATCTTGGCATATTTGAAGTCTGAAAAACTTTTACAATTTATCTGTGAAAAAGAAAACATAAATTAGACAACAAACTTTTATAAAGGTGTGGCTATTTCCAGTATTAAAAAGTATTAAAAGTAGCTTTGTTTGTTAATACTAGTATAAGTGAGATAATTCAACATTACAGTGTTTTCAGAAAAGATGCTTTACAAAATTTACTGTTTATATACATGTACATGAAACATTTACAAATTTGAAAACTGAAGTTGACCAATCAGATCAATCAACTTGACGTCATCATGGATGAATACACACTCCCGAAAGTGACGATCTTGTCTGCACATGTGCGTAGCCGTAAGCATATTAACCAAAATCTGATTTCCAGCTCATTATTATTTTAGCCAACCCAGTTGTTTGGATCGGATTTGAATGAAACGTATTGTAAATATGTTGTAAAATGGTTATAAAATATGTAAACTACTTTTCAGAAGTCAGTGTATCCAATCAGCAAAATCCTCACAGTTACGATGTCACGTAAAGGCATGTGTCGGCAATATGGGTGTAAACAGTGCTTAGCTCTTGAGCCAATCACTATTGAATGAAAGCTTATGATTGACTTTAACAACTTTTTATAAATATGTTTATAAGCAAATTCTCCTAGTAGTTCATGCAGTTGCCAATCAAAATGATGGTGTGAGATCTGAAGTTCTAATGATAGCGAGGGCAGCAAGATCAGTCAAAGGCTGCTAGTGAGGAAAGCTTTATGGATAACATGTGTATATATAAAAGAGTATGGAAGAAATTTATATACCGGGATACCATAAGAGTTTGAAAACTGTGCACTTCCGGTCAATGAATGCTAACAGCTCATTCATGATAAAACGTATTCATTATGTTGTTCAATGATAAGGCAATGGACTGAAAATAATTTTACTTTGACTCCCGGTATAATTTTTTGATTCAGTGGACGGTCGATTTGTCCAAAACCACATTCGTATCAGATTGATTAGTCCCACAGGTTGATTCGTCCCAAGTCGATTCAACCCACAAGTTTATTCGACCTAAAGTTGATTCATCTCACAAGTTTATTTGTCCCAAAGCCTATACGTCCATTTTAGGATAGCTCGATACTAACTCGTTCAATATGTGCACTTGGTCTGAGATCGCGATATATAGCAGGCATGTTAGTAACAAGCATAAGGTTGGCCGAACACGATAGAAATCTATTGGACTTGCGGTTTTCAGCAAGAAGTCGAAAATATCACTTTTACCAAAAATGACAAAAACATTCACCAAAATTAGAGAATTGAAAATATCATCATGAAATGAACAAATCTAAGAAAGGTCTACCCAAGGTATACACAATACATATAAACCAAGCATTCAGGCTTGTAGTTTTTCAAAAAGAAGTTGAAAAAGTAAAACATTGACATGGACGACGATTGACAATCACTCATATGATAAGCTCCGTTCGACAAAGTCGACTGCAGAGCTAAAAATTTGAAATTAAACTGATCTTTTTGCAAATTTAGAATTTCTGACCATAAACTACTCATTGAGACTGGCAAGCAAAAGAAAATCCCTCGAAATGAAAGAATATGTAAATTTTGTACAGACAATGAAATTGAAGACGAGTGCCATTTCTTAATAGAATGCAGTAATTACGACGTACCCTGTAATAAATTATACAGGACAAAAATCTGACTTTTTGAAAATGAATGAATAGGAAAATTTCAAATAATTACGACACGCTTTGCAAGAATAGAAACTGCACAATTTATCATGATCCATACAAGTATGAACTTGAGAGATGGAACATAGCAACTCCATCAAATGAGTCTGCAGGTGTTTTTAATGCAATATTATATTTAGTAGCTTAGTAGTTCTATTCTTATACTTATTTTCATGTTTTTTCTTCCATCCTTAGGTACATATATACACGAAAAAGACATGGAAGAAAGTAATAATCATTCAACCATCAACCCTCTACCACTTCACACAACGCCGATAGTACATCTGGCCGAGATCGCCTGATATACTAGTATACTGGCCGAGTTTCAACACAGCCGAGTTCGACTGTATTCGTAACTTCGTTACGCGTTATGTTAGCCGTG